GCGTGCTGTCCTGGGCAGTGGTGAGGGAACCTCTGGAGATGGCCTCCCTGGATGGCTTGTCCTCCCTCCCCACATGGCAGTGCCCTGGCAATGCTGATGGAAGGCAGATCTGGGCTGGATGGAAACCAAACCTGCTTTCTCCTTCTTCCCCGTGTCAAGACACTGTGAGAGAGACTTGATCTGCTCTGTGCCGTGCTACTAACAATTAATTAATAACAGCTAGTAATAGCAATTAATTGCTTGTGCTCCAGAAGGTTTAGTCTCATATCCCAAGGGCAGGGCAGGGGCCAGGCTCACCATGGTGGGATATTCATGTTCCCTGGAGGTGTGGGGCAGTGCGTCCTGAACACCCAGTGTCAAGGGGTGTCCACAAGACCCGCCGGGGTCCGTGGGACCCTGCCCCCCTCCATCCTCCCTCTCCCACCAGAGAGCAGGGGGCTTTTTCTCCACTGTGCCCTTCTCGCTGGAGCGGGGAGCAGCTGAGCCTGCGGGAAGGCTGGGCAGAGAGGAGTTAACTGCAAACCCAACCTCAGGGAGAGGGGAAAAAAAAAAACAGAGATCAATGGATCAGCAGCAAGAGCAGAGGGAGGGAAAAGGGGGAGACAGAGAGAGGAAGGAGAGGAGCTCCAGAAGGAGAGAGACGAGTGTGGGAGCCAGGAGAAGAAAGAGCAGAGCTGGCGGCCGGCAGGGAAAGGCAGTGGAGCACCAGGCAGGGGTGACGGCACTGCCCAGACAAACTCTTTGGTGGCCTGCGTCCTCCTCGCTGCTGCTGCCTGGGCTGGACCAGAGGTGTGCCCTGAGCCAGCGGCCAAGCTGCAGGCCTTTCCTCACAGAGGTGAGTGCTGGCTTCCCAAGGAAGGGGCAGCCTTGGGTTCCCTGAGCAGGGACAGGACAGTGCCCAGAGATGCCCCGCTGCCCAGGTGCGAGTGCGTGCCCAGAGGGCGACCAGGGTCCTCTGCTTAAGCAAGGAGATCCCACGGGGCCAGGACGGAGGAGCCAGATAGTTACCAGTAGGACAGAGGGGACCGCAGTCCCAGAGAGGCAGGGACGACCTTTCAGTGCGATACAGAGAGGCTGCTGGGAAGGAGAAGTAGTGTGAGCTGAGGGGTGGGGGAGTGTGGGGCAAAGGAGCTTGCACGACCCAAAAATCAGTTAATTGCATGTCAACAGTAGCTAGAAAACAGTATCTTTCCCTCTTGGTTGCTGCTCAGCGAAGGACAATTTGTTCTAATGATAGCATAACAAGGAGAAGACTCGTTCGGAGATAGGCTGTTGGTGTTCCCTGCCTGAGCACAGTGTTACTCAGGGCTGGAGGAAGTTTTGCCACAAATCACAATACCTTGAGCTGCAGTAATAATTACGCTCCTTCATAATGATCATCATGTTGTGTTTCAGGCAGCTGTAAGGTCTCCCCCCTTCTCTCCTAGCTGCCACCGTACAGCCCGTGACCACCTCTCAGCATGAGGAAGAGCTGCTCTGAGTCACCTCTCCTCTGTGGAGCACAATTAGTGCAAAGGGAGCAAGGGTCTGCCAGCTCAAGGGTGGAGGTGGGCCCACCTTAAGGAGCTCCCTTGGGGCCAGAGTGTGGTGCTGCTGCTGCAGGGCGTCATCCAGGCATCAGGTCCCTGCTGCTGGAGATCGCACAGCCCCGGGGTGAGGGTACCAGAACCGCTCACAGTCCCTATGGCCTCGTGTGCCTCGCTGAGCCCTGTTGAACACCAGCCAGGACTTAGACTTGCAAAGCAAGCGATCCCAAGAGGTTTAGCGGCTTTGGGATTGTAGGAGGAATGTAGGGGAGGTCAGGCGGCAGGGCAGGAGGTCCTTCAGGGGGCTGGGAGCACAGGGGGTGCTGTGGTGGGGACATGAATGCGGGCAGGAGAAAGGAGCTTTGGCTCCACTTGAGCCAGGCAGATGTGGGCTGACTGATCCCAACAGCATTCTTGCCAGTGATGTCACGAGGATCTTAATGTTATCATTTAACCAGCTGGTTGGGATTGGTATCTGGGAGAAATGTGGGTGTCAGAAAAAGGCCGGGATCAGGCACCTTAGGGCCAGAGCTCTGGTGGCCACTGTGATCAACACCGAGCAGCACCCGCTTGCCTATGGCCATGCACAGATGCTGTGTCTCCCTTTCTCCCCTCGCAGGTCCCTGCAGTCAGATGGGGAGATGCCGGGAGGCTGGAACGGATCCTCTGACAGCCCAGAGCTGCGAGCTGCAGGGATTATCGTGCCCGTCATCTTCTCCCTCATCTTCCTCCTGGGCACTGTGGGGAACGGGCTGGTGCTGGCCGTGCTGCTGCGGAATGGCCAAGTCAAGTACAATACCACCAACCTCTTCATCCTTAACCTGGCCATGGCCGACCTGTGTTTCATCATCTGCTGTGTCCCCTTCCAGGCCACCATTTACACCCTAGATGGGTGGCTTTTTGGGGCCTTTGCCTGCAAGGCTGTGCATTTCCTGATCTACCTCACCATGTATGCCAGCAGCTTCACCCTGGCCGCTGTCTCCGTTGACAGGCAAGTATCCCCTCCCTTTTGAGTCCCTCAGCTCCGGGGCAATGTGTCTGCCACCCTTGAGCTAAGGGGTGGGAGAAAGGCCAGTCCTTACCCTGTTGAGTGTTCTGTAAGGAGCAGGTGGGGTCTCCCCAGAGGCAGGGTCAGCAGAACCAGCCTCCCTATCTCCCCATGCCCTCTTCCAGCACCGAGCCCAACTCTTGGCCTGGTTACCCAGCCCTCACTTAGGGAGGAGTGTAGGCACATGCTAAGGCTTGGTGTCCACCATGCAAAACCAAGAACTGCAAAACCTTAGGGCAGCAATGCACCAGAGGAGAAAGAAGCAGTACTCTGGATCCTGCTCCTGTCCTTCTCTTCCCTGGTTCAAGAGGCATGCTGCTTGCCTTTCCTGAGCTAGCACAGCAGAGTGGGCAATGGAGATCTCAGACCCACTGTTGAGATGACCCTGATCTCTATGTGAATTCACCGTAACCCTTCCTAGCAAGAGATGGGGAGGGGAAGAGATGGGTGGCTGCGTGAGAAGAGGTGCACAGATGGCAGGTCCACGGGGCAGGGGGGCAACAAGGTATCGTCTCACCCATGTTGTGTTTGGTCTCTTCTCTGTCCTCTCCTCACCAGGTACCTGGCCATTCGCTATCCGCTGAAGTCCCGGGATCTCCGTACCTCCCGAAATGCAGGAGTGGCCATTGTAGTGATCTGGTCACTGTCGCTGGTCTTTGCAGGGCCTTACCTCAGTTACTATCAGATTGTCCATTACCACAGGGTGCCCATCTGCATCCCCATCTGGGAGGACCAGCGCCGAAAGATTCTGGACATCCTCACATTTGTCTTTGGATACCTCCTGCCCGTGACCGTGGTCAGCCTGGCATATGCCAGGACCATCAAGTTCCTGTGGACCTCTGTAGACCCCATAGAAAGGATCTCAGAGTCCCGGAAGGCCAAGCGTAAGGTCACCAAGATGATTGTGGCTGTGGCCATCCTGTTCTGCCTGTGCTGGCTGCCCCACCACCTGGTCATCCTGTGCTTCTGGTTCGGCCACTTCCCCTTCAACCAAGCCACTTACGCTTGCCGCCTGGCTTCCCACTGCCTTTCATATGCCAACTCCTGCCTCAATCCCATCGTCTATGCCCTCATCTCCAAGCATTTCCGCAAGCGTTTCAAGCAGGTCTTCACTTGCCTCTTCTTCCAGAACAAGACCAGGAAGAAGAAGAAGAGAGTTGGAAAGAAAGTCCACGTGGTCAATGTGGGCAAAGGTTTCACTAACAGCACCAGAGGTTTCTATGGAGGCAACACTGAGGTGACCCAGGTCCCAGAGGAAAACACCAGGAAGAGGGACCCTGAAGGCACAAGTCATGATGCCAGACCATGGACTCACCAGCTACAAGATGCCATGGTCTCTGTGCAGAAAGAGCATCTGGAGGAGCAAAGTTTGGCAACAGCTGGCCATCCCCTAGCCGTGACCCTTCCAAGAGGAACTGAGGAGTTTCTAACTGTTCATTACAGGTGAGCAAAGTGAAGAAGCCTCTTCTCCAGCCTGTGATTAACCACTCCATTCCCAAATGGGCAGAATACTGTGGGGCAGAGGGGAATGGACACAGCAGAGCCACCAAAACCTTCCGTAGCAATGGTTAACCCATTGTCCCCACTCACCTTCACTCACTGTCCCAAGGCATTCATATAGGAATGGCCAATCCACCCATACAAATGCAAAGTGGAGTCACATGTTAATGTGATGCAATATTCCTGCAAGAGGTTTTAAGGTCTCCATTTCCCAACTTCCTAACTCGCTAATTTTGTGCAGCACCTTGAAACTCTAAGAGGGAGACCACTAAAATGAAACCATCCTGCTAGAAAATCCAGGCTGTTAAAGGCACATCAGAGCATGGGTGGGAAGGGTGGAGAGAGTGCATGGGGACCTGAGTGTCAATAGGGTAGCTGGCAGCCTCTCTCCCTGGCAGGGCTGGGGCGCTGTGCCCAGCCTTGAGTGGTAAAACACTGTCCCCTGCCCACATGTCCTTTTCCCATGGTCCAAGGGCAGCCCTGGTCCACTTCCATCCCTTTCCCTAGCCCCTATATCCAGATCAGAGGGCCTTTGCCACACTGTCTCTCATATAAGGAAGTTAGATGCCTGTGCCAACAGCTTGATGATGCAAGCTCTGCGGCAGTCACTGGTCATACTCACGCAATTTATGCCATGGCAGCTGAAGATTGGAAAGGCTTGTGTGCTGACACGTCTGCGTGCCTCCCCTCTGCACCTGTGGCTTCTCTGACGTTCAAGGAGGAAAGGACCATCTGTCCAGTCTCTTCCCTCCACCCTGCCCACCAGAAGTACTCACCGGAGGATGTTTCCTAGAGCTCTGTCCCACCTGGCTTTAGCTCTTACAAGCAAATCCTGCAGGATGCTGTCCCACTTCCTAGTGCTGCTTGCAGTTCAGAAATATTTCCTGATGACCATCCCCAGTTCTTCCTGAACAGACCTGGTAACTCCTCCTTCCACCATGTTGTTCCACCTGATCTGCCCCTGTGCTCACTTTCTGTTTGCCTTTTGCAAATTCCTGAGGGATTGCTGCCTCTTCTTTGATCTTTGCTTGCTACTCGGAGTTTCATCCCTTCCTTCTGGGGCTGAAGGACCTGTTGTTTTCTGAGCAATGACATTATTCATTGATATTAGCCCCATGTGTGTGGTTTACTGACTTGGCCAAACAGTTTTTTCCACATGATGGTGAGTGAATTGATGGCTGTCACCAAAGCTGAAGAAAATAGCTAAGCTGTAAAATGAGCTGTGGAGCCAGGTGACAGTTGTGGTAAGGTGAAGGAGAAACAGACCCATGTGTGCTTATTTCAATCCTGTCTCCTCAGTGCCCCTTTCTGCCTGATGGAGAAGGTTTCTAGGAGAGTGTGAGGCCAACACCGCTCAGCAGGTTGGGACATCTTCCAAGACGGCCGCTGCTGTGGGATTGCTGTGGGACCCATGTCTGCCTGGGAGCAAAACTTTGCCCTGCTCTGTCCCCTGCTGCCCCGAGCAGCCGCAGAGAAGCCTTTGGCTGTGGGAGCAGCTCAACACCTCACAGCAGAGCCAAGCATCCCCCCAGCTTGACCGTGGGAAGGATGGGAAGTGCTGTGAGGATGGTGTGGTGGGACAAAAATCACGTTCACCGGGTGTTGGAATTTCTTCCCTGCTTGACTTGAATAAACCCCAGTAATTTCCTTTGCCTGCCGCGTTTGCTGTGTGCTGGATACAATCTCTGCCCGGCATGGGGCTCTACAGGTGATGGAGGCTGTATGAGTCTTCTGACCACAGTCTGGTGCTCCCAACTCACTAGCAGGGCGTCATTTGTTTTATTTGACTTTGCAGACACTGCAGAAGTGTACAAAAGGAGCAAAGCTGAGGGGTTTAAGATGGATCCAGCACTGCTGGATCATAGGAGAGGGAGAGATAGGAGCAGAGAGAGGGAAAAGGAGGGATGGTGAGAGGACAGATGGGGGGGGCAATATAAATGATAAATGTGTGGTGGGAGTCATCCCAGGGACAGAAAATGGCAGTGAGAAGGCAGGACGAAGGAAGGGGCTAGAAGTAGAGGGCAGAAGGGAGAACGAGAAGGCGTGAGGGAGGTGGGAAGCAATGTACTGGCAGAGCACCCACATTTTCACAGGAGCCTTCTCCCCACCCCAGCAGCATCACGCTGCTCCAGAGCTGAGGTGAGCATCGCTCAGCACATCAGCTTTCTCCAGTATTTTTCTGCATCATCAGGCTGCCAGAGAAGCCCAGAAAAACACCATCCAAGTAAGGCCTTTGATCAGCCTAGCGCACACGGGAGGGAGAGAGCCGGTGGGATTTGCATTGCTGCAATGCCGTGATTTACCGCGGTGCCTGGCAGAGCCAGGCCCAGGCAGGTGGCTGACTTCACACAGCTCCTGTTTTGTCACGTAGTCGTGACATCAGTAGAGAGAGGAGAGGGACCGAGCGGGATACTCAGCTTCTCCAGTGTGTCAAGTCAACGTGCCACAGGTAATCACGGCCACCTGAGGCCATCCTCTGCGGGGATGAGACAGCTTCACCATGGGGACACAAACTCTGTGATGCCACCTGCTTTGTGAGTGCAAGCGGGACAGATCCTGCTGCATTTGCCAGCACAGGCATAGCCCCTGAGCATCTGTCCTGTGGCTTGGGAGCTTTTGGTGATGCTGTAGGATAAGCTCAGGAATAAGAAGGGAACAAAGACAAGTCACCTGAGAGACTGGGAGAGGGGAAAGGGACTGCTTTTGCTGGCCAGGCAAGCCCTGAGGAAGGGAAAGGGACCGGCTCATGGAAGGACCTCCATGGTGAGAGGCAAGGGAGAAATCTCCATTAGCATCACACTTCCTGACCACATCCTAGGGGCTTCTCTTTCCTCCAGGAGAGGCCAGGATCGTCAGGCCCACACCTTATGTCCAGTGAGATGGTTTTCTGTTGGCAGCGAAAGAGATGAGCGTGCTCATTCAGATCCGTTAAACTGAGCTCAAGCCCTACAGAGCTCCTCAGCAATCTCCTCTGCAATCCTGCCTGGAATGCCTTGGCTGCAAATCATCAGACCTGCCTCTGTCCCAGCTCAATATTTACAGTAAACTTTACATGATTGCATCAGTTGTGCTTTCCCTTAATTACATATAGCATATAATTAGTGCTGTGTGGGGCTCCAGAGTGTCTAACTCATAATGTGAAGCAGATCTTCACCCGTAATGCCTTAAAAGCAGTGAAAGAGGGAAAGCTTGGCGGAAAGTGTTTAGTGAAAGCAGTGACATTGTGGGACACTCCAGACTTCCATGCTGAAGCTGGGAAACAGTTACAGATCTTCATGGCAGCAGTAGGTTTCAGAGCGAACACCTGAATGAGGCAGATCATTCTCCTTCCACGGCAGTTCACTTCCCCCAGCCCCGCTGCCCACAGCCAGCATGTGCATGGAGATATCCCTCCCGGCAAAACCCTGCAGGCTGACTCTCCAGGTGGAGACACAAGGACTGGGTGCTACAGCCATCTCCATAGCCTGGAAATTTGCAGGGATCACACTGCTTGCTTTCTAGCTAACTAGAACAACGAGGTAGCTAATTCTGGGGAGCCCCAGCCAGCAGAGAGGACCCTTTTACTGCCATCCCACTGATCATCGGGAGGTGATTGCCAGCATGAGCCTGCGTCAAACGCGAAGTTGTTGGAGGCTGCACAGCCTTGTCAGTGGTTTTCTGAGCCCCACATGGGCTGCAGAAGCTACCAGTGTCCTCACTTGTCCCCATGCACGGTGGGATCTCGGCAAGGCAGCTGTGGTCTGGGTCCAAAGCAAAGGGGGTTTTGGACCCATCCTTGTCCTTCGACACTCTCAGTGCTGTAGGTGTTGTACAGCAGGGCTGGGGATCATCAGGCAGCAAGAGCTTGCAGAGCTGTGGTGTGCGTGAGCAGAGCCATGAGCCCCCCCCTTTTTTCTCTTCTCTTTCTGTCCCCTGCTTCTGCTTGCGTAAATCTTCTGTCATTGCTCTGTCCTGCCTGCTCTTAAAATTCCCAGGCGATGTGGTATTTCTAACCCTTGCTGAAGCTGTTGCATGCCTTACTAGAGCTCAGCTCCAAGGACACCCCTTTCCCCATACGGAGGCCAGCCAAAGTGCTGCACTGGGAATTATTTTTCTTTTTTCATTCAAGTGTTTGATGTTGCTTTCTGCACCTTGAGCCTCCCTCATCTCCTATCCTTGTTTCTGATTTCTCCGCTCCCTTCCTCTGTAGTGGCTGATGCTCCTCTGCAGCCAATGCCTTTCGGCAACATGTCCAGAGTGCTTTGCCTACCTTCCTGGGGATGGCTAGTCCTGCAGCCGCCCTTTGCATGCGATGCCGTGGCTGGTGACCAGCTCATATGGCCACAAGCAGCCTCCAGGTAACACGGATATCTGCATCGTTTCTGGGGGCGAGGCCCCGCTTCACAACCCAAAGCATCAGAGGGAGAAGGGAACAGCGGTCAGGAGCAGTGATGCAGCACAGCCGGATGCTGACTGTTCTTGACCACTTGCAGCCGGGCTGTTGCTCACCCCTGATCCTGTTCCTCCTGATCCCAGCTTGCAAAGGAAGTGGATGAGGTCCACTCTCTTCACGTTAAAGTGAAGCCTAAATAAAACAGGACAGAGAAAGCAGTGAGAAAACCTAGGGGAAAAAGTGCATTTAGCGTGGCAAGCATCGGCAAGCCCCAGCGCCCTTCCCTAAGCTCTGCCTGGTGTTAAGCCCCAATTTTGGGGAGTACGTGAATGGGAAGGGCAGATGCTGAGCCTGGCTTGGGGAGGCTCTGGAGCCAGGAGGGAATTCCTGTCTGCCCAGTAACAGCATACATGCTCCAACTGGTTTCACAGCTTGAAGGTACAGGTGAAGAAAGGGTGTTATGTCCTTGATATAAAGCTGGGTTTAATTAAAACTGAAGGAGCTTGATTGCTGTTTTCCACACAGCCTCCCCTCAGACTGATTATCATTCTGCAGTCTCTGCTCCCAGCTTCTCGCCTTAATTAATGACTCCTTGCTTATATTTTCTCTCCTACTTGTCATCACTTGGGCTGACGAGCTTGGCTTTAACCCTGCAGAGGCTGGTTTGCCACACCAGCTGAGTGCAGCCGTGCTGGGAGCTGGCACAGGGCAGGGGGAACGGGAGAGGCGAGGGCAGGTCGGGGCTTTGCGGCTAGTGGTTGGCACCAGCTTCCCTGCAAGTCAGGCATAACTACCCTCTGCGGACCAACTTAGTCCTGCCAGTTGTGTGCCAGTTCTGGTGCCTGGGCATCTCCTCAGCATGCGTGCCATGAGCCTGATGCTGCCGGGAGGTGTCAGACCCAGGTACCAAGATGCTGATGTGCAAATCTGGCAGCCCTGGGAGGGATTTCCCTGTCTTCAGACACATGGGCTGCGGGAGGCGGAAGGCCAGGGGAAGCTGTTACAAGGACGCTTCCTAATTCCCTGGCAGAGCAATGGGCTCAAGTGCTGCCATTGCGCTTGTGGGAACAGGACCTTGTACAGACACTCTGCCAACAGCCGGGACGGCACTGCGAATGCACCTCACAGCACGAAAGCCTTGCTGGCCAGAGAGGTCATGGTGTGATGGGGTGGTCAGGGCACAGAGCACTATTAGCTATAGGGAATTCTGCTTATTTGCTTTTGGGTTTAGATGCTGGTTCTAATCAATGGCCAGCCTTAGCTGGTTGCCAGCTAATTATTTTAATTCTTCCAACAAC